CATACTGCATAGTAGCTGCACCATTTAACATTCCCACCAACAGTGCCCAAGGTTCTGATTTCTTCACATTCTTCTCCACACTTAATATTTTATGTTTTTTGGTAGTAGCCCTCCTAATGGATGTGAGGTAATATCTCTTTGTGGTTTTGATTTGCCATTTCCCTAATGATGAATGATATCAAGCATCTTTTCATATGTTTTTTTGGTGTAAAATGATTTTAAGTACTCATATTCTTCTTTAAACTGAGAAGATGAAAATGTCTCTCTCACACAATAATATTGAGAGAAATTCTAGGAAACTTCAGTAAGGTACAATGCTATTAAACACTATTCAAAGTTCAAGATACCAAAATGGCAGTATTCTGAAGTTTCCCAGTTAGTCAAGAGCATGACTTAAAAAAAAAAAAAAAAAAAAAAAAACAAACTCTAATATTGGTTAATCTGTCATCCTTTGTCTTAACTCTTAGATTAAATTTTCTTATCTCAAAAGTCCTTTTGAACAGCTGTAAGCTTCTATTTTTCAAAGGTTTTATTACAAGTCACCAAAAAAATGCATATCCTCCCTCTCTCATGAGATGGAAACGAGATAAACATGTTCTAAGGAGAAAAATTATTTTATCCAGAGGCTCCAGTAAATTATCTCTCTTATCAAAGTCTCTGTGGTTTCTGTAATGTTATACTTAGCTTTACTTACTCAGTCCCTACTCTGTGTTAGATACTAGCCACCTGAAGATAAAATGGTACAGTTTCTGCCCTGAAAGATCTCAGTCTAGTGGTAAGAAGAGACAAGAAAGTCGGCAAGTTTGACACAGAATGACACATGAGAATGCAACTGAGAGCAACTTGCCCAAGGTCTTATGGGAAGATAAAGGGAATTAATCAGGTGAAGCCCAGAATTGGCATGAGAAGGGCTGTAAGAGGTGGGATGGGGAAGGAGGTGAATAGAAGGGCTCCTTAGAAGTATTTTAAGATATCAAAGATGTGACGGAAGTTTTCCTACAAATATTTTCAAGTTGATTTTCAGTTCCTGTGTCCATCCATTTTTAATTGATAATTTTGATCCATCTGTGTATATTTAAATAAAACACTTGAATGGATAGGTGTAAAAATCATAAATGCCTTACCAGGTTATTGCTTGAATCTTACACAGTATGAACAAATGGTGGTGTTTCAACTGCCTGTTTTTTTTTTTTTTAACTAGTATTCTCTCTTTTTTTTAATCTTTTATTGTTTTTTATAAGATTTTTATTTATTTGAGAGAGAGAGACAGCATGGGGGAGGGAGGGTCAGAGGGAGAAGCAGATCCCTGCTGAGCAGGGAGCCCGATGTGGGACTCGATCCCAGGACTCGATCCCAGGACTCCAGGATCATGACCTGAGCCGAAGGCAGTCGCTCAACCGACTGAGCCACCCAGGCGCCCCATCAACTGCCTGGTTTTACAAACATGATCTTACAAGGTCATTTCCTTTATAATTTACTTTGCATTAAATTTGTATTTCATTTTGACACTAAGGAGGAAACGTATAGTTTATAAAATGGTGTCATGTCATGTCAAACTTTTTAAGATGCTCTTTTATTTATTTTTACTTTGCTGCCAAGGCACTGATTCCCTTAGGAGCTTTTGTTCTCACATTTATGTAATTGAAAAACATCCATTAAAAGTCTTGGTCTAGGGGCGCCTGGGTGGCTCAGTCATTAAGCTTCTGCCTTCAGCTCAGGTCATGATCCCAGGGTCCTGGGATCGAGTCCCACATCGGGCTCCCCCTGCTCAGTGGAGAGTCTGTTCCTCTCTCTGCCCACCCCCTGCTTGTGTTCCCTCTCTCGCTGTCTCTCTCTCTGTCAAATAAATAAATAAAATCTTTAAAAAAAAAAAAGTCTTGGTCTAGAGAGGAAGAAGTCTCCTTGATATTTGAGTTTATGGCTTCATTGTTTCCAACTAGCAATGAAGGGGAAAGTGCTCCTTTGAAGATTTGTTCTTGAGTTAAGAAAGCACCTGGGTAAGATGTGTTTTTCAGGTTCTGATGGCTGTGAGTGGTATTAATATCAAATGATTTCAGATTTGACATTGTCTAATGAGACCATTGAGTTCAATTCTCTTTCTACATCTGAACACACCAAGATGCCCAGAACTCAAGTAAAGTGACCAAGGAAATACAGTTAAGTGTAACAAATTACAACAGGACCAGACACACAAAGAAATCTTCCACTTAGCCTAAGTGGATTAGTTATAAGAATTGATATAGGAAGTATTGTGCCCTCTCTGGGTCACTCACTGAAAGATGATTTTTTTTAAAAAATAACTCTTAAGCACTTGCATGATTCTATTTTCATTTCTGGCATATGTAGCCTGCTTGTCACTATACTAAATAGATGAAATAGGTCACTCATCTAGAATTTCCTTTGAACTGAAGGGCTTCCATAAATAAATTTATTCAATGAGATAGAAGGGAATGCATACAGAGACAAAACCTGGGGACAAAACTAACACAAAAATAAAACAAGTTGCTCAATTTTGAGTCATGCTTTTGGAGTGCTACTTCTGTCTCCTCACCTCCTACCTCTGTTCATAAAGGCAGTTCTGGTCCCCTGCTTTCATGGTGGGTGGTTGATGTTAGTCTTTCTCATAGCTGACTGAGGTCTTAGGGAAACGGGAGGATAGACAGTTGTTTGGATCCTTCAGTTCTGCTCTTTCGCTTCTCTTGGGAGGCTGACCACTGGAGGGGGCCCTTCAACCGCCATACCTCTTTATTTCTCTTGAAAGGTTTGTCAGATATTTGTAAAACGTTCTTTTTTGGTTGGTGTCACAAGTGTTTGAATTCCCAGAAGCAGTTTTGATTTTCCACAAATGCACTGCATTATGAGAATCTGGGTTCAACAACCACGTCCGTTCATTGAAATTTCCTTAAATTGCTGTGGACTTTCTTGTTTTAATTAATAAAATGAGCGAACATGTGCTGAATATTGACAGGTGCGGGGTGGTGGTGTACCTCACATACATTCTCTCATTTAATCCTAGCCATACCTCTGCACGATAGATATTGTTGTTAATCCCAGAAGTTCTCACAATTTAATAGTAACGGGCGTAGAGCCAAATTAAACCAAGGGTTTGTTGCGTCTAATGTCTATAGTGTTACCACTGTGCTGTATACATGTCCCCCAACACTCAGCACGGTACTTTCCACATAGTAAGGTTTTCACTAAAACAGTCGAATTGAAGGGAACTGAATCCATGTACTAGCAGCGCATATTCAATGCTCACTGTCACAGTCAGAAATTTAGAAATAATCGGTTTCGCAGTGGGAGAATCAATATTTCCCTGAGACATTAATTTGCTAATTATTTCTTGCCATGGAAGATATCATCTGATCATCAATCTTCTGCATCTCCTATGCTACACAAACATTTCCAACTTTCTTAAATTATTAACCTTGATCTTTGTGATATTCAGGAAACATTAAAACAGAAAAGGCAATAATATCATCAATGACCCTTCTACATAATATGGTGACCAGAGTGAAATATGAGTTATTTTTATTTGGAAAAACAATATTACTCTGTTTTGACTCAAGGGTGTTAACATTTTTAGTGTTAGCATTAATTTGTTTTCTTTTGATCATACAATTATTACACTTATTTTCCTTAGTGAAATGGAAAAACATACCAATTGCCAAATGCTAATGATGTGTTCATAGTCTTAAAATGTACATGTCATTAGGTTTCTGTTTTTCAGCTGGTAAAAGTTTATGGAGTCAGTATTTGTTTCTCTTGGGGAATTTTGCTTGGTATTTTAAAGATACACTTACCATTTCCCTTAGGTCACTTGTGCCAATATCTGTCCTTCATTATCATAGCAACAAAAGTTTTTCACTTTGTAGTCTTATGCAGTTCAGATGGATCTAGCCTGTCCTTCCAAAAACATTAATAGAATACCTGCTGCATGTTTTTTCAAAAAATATTTTTTGTTCTTCATCCTTGAAAGATTATGTTTATCCAAGAAAGCCTATGACTTAATATGAGATTTATTTTATGCTTTTTAAAAATTTTAACTTGGACTTTGATGTTAAGCATCCTCAAGCAGTAGTCTTGTTGTGATTATTTTAATATTCAAGCAAATAAAAACAGCTGTTTATGGTATCAACAATTGTGTTTCTAAGAAAATATAAACCTGAGCTTTATTCCCCTTTTGTAATAGTGCCCCATCTTTTCTATCCACAGGACACCTTAAATTAAAATGTTAAGAGGACACTGAGATTCTCTCAGATTCTTCATTAGTTGACTAGATCTCCCACAGCAAAATGCTGTGAAGAAGCAACTTTCATCCATTTATTTTTGTTCTGATATATTCAGAAAAGTGCTAATACTAAAAAGTTTAGATCTGAATTTCATACCTTACAGTGGCTTTCAAATACATTTTCTTCTGATTTGGGTTTACAGACCTCTTGTTGGTGGTATTCACCCATTTTAAAGAGAAGGACACAAAAATTCAAAGTGGGTTACCAGTCTGAGTTCACCTAGTAGAGTCACAAATTAAATCTGGACGTTCTGATCACAAGCTCTTGTAAATAGTTCCATTTCACTTTCCATGATTAGATGCCATGAAATGAAAAAAAAGGGGGGGAGGAGTAAAAACTCTTAAAGTAATTTAAATTACAAGCTGTAGTGGCATCCCACATTCAATTGAAAGGCTTATATTTTTAAATGTATATAATATATACATATTGCATATTATATATATAATATATACACATTACATATTATGTATACAACATTTATTATATATTTTAGTACATTATATATTCTTTCAGTATATTATATATAAGATATATATGTGTGTGTATATACACAAACTATATATAAGATTATCAAACTTTCCTATTTAAGGAGTTTTTTTTAATGTGGCAAAGACACATAATCCAAAAGAATCTTTCAAACTGGTCACCTTGGAAATGATAGACAAACAGATTATTGTTTCAATATTGAATCCTTTACTTTGTTCACAGCTGCAAACATTTTTTGAGACATTCCTGACAGCCAGTTCACCTCTTCAGGCTTTTGATAATATGAAAGAAGCAATTAGCAAACTCTTGCTAGCAGCTGAATTATTCAGAGAACCATCTACTCTGGGACCAAAGGCCTTCAATAGGTAAAAAACAATGCTAATATTAAAAAAAAAAAGAAAAAAAAAAAACCTTCTAAAAGTTACTAGTGAAAATATTCTTAATTATCACAAGTGTGAAATATATCTTAATTATCACAAGTAGGTGCTACTTGGAAAATGTTATGTCAGTATATAAATATGAACTTGTTAACGTCTTTTCATATTTATAGATCCTAAAACTTCAGTGCATGTTACAGACTTGTTAGCATCCAAATAATAGTGACAAGAAATAAAGCAGACATTGTTTAAATTAATTTTAATTGCATCTCCTTTTTAAGCTTAGCTATTTTTATCATATGAACTTTGCATTGACTTAGGTATAATTTTACTTATGGACCTTATTAACAATATTCAATAGCTACTATCCCTATACTTCAGTTTACTTGAATATAATTTCATGCCTTTTTCTAGGGAAATGTTAAATTTAGATGTCAACAAAAAGGAGATGACTCAAAAGTAAGCTTTATCATGTTCCATATGTGAGTAAGAATGCCTAGCAGTAAGGAGTAGGAGAGTTTCCTTCTCTGTATTTAGGTTTTCATGAAGTAACTTCATTGTTTAATGTGTTATGAATATTCTAGATATATTTGTATTTTCTATGAAGAACAAAACAAATTCCAATTTAAAAATAAATTGCATGTAATTTCCAAGTCACTGCTCTTTTTACTTAATACAGACCTTGAAATTAACTCTAGTAACTGTTAATAATGTATCAGAAGATAGAGTAAATGTAGCAAATAGAATATATTTTTATATTACCTTGTGTTTTTATTTCAGATGCAGATTATGTTTTCAACTTTTCACTTTTGATATTGGTTACTACAGTTTTGGGTACCCCGTAGTGCTCCAGGTGAATATCCTGAAGGCTTCTTGTGAGCTTCCACCTTACACTGAATGATCTGTGTGTGGGGGGGTGTATATATGTATATGGATGCATCGTCTGCATTCACAGGAACCAATCAATAAACAGCAACTTGTATTAAAGTCACTACAGGCTTATATTTTACTGTAGTTCAGAAAATTACCTAATATGTGGAGAATCTATGATTTGGGTTCCAATCCCCACTATGAATCACTATAGAACAGGCATGGATTTTCCTATGGATTAATCACCACTGTTTATGAAATAAAGTGGAAAACATGTAGATAATAGAAAATAGAACATTACCCAGCTTATTCACTTGGGTTTATAAAAAAAGTAACTCTTATTCTTTACATACAGATATTTAGTTTTAAATTGGCCTGTATTTTAATTTAAAAAGCCATAGGAAATTTTTAAATATATGGTTTTTTTCTAGTATAAATTTGTGTAAATTGAAGAGTGCTTTTGTATACTCTGATTCTTTTACTTCCTTTCGAATCAAGTGAACACATTCAGATCATCTCCTCCAACATATCTTTCATCTAAAATATCCCTTAGCGGCAAGAAGATTAAAAAGCAGTTGATTGAATAAATCTACAGAAAGCTTTATTTTGAGATATGGAGTAGGAAGAAGGGAAAGGAACAAAATAAAATTATGTGCAACCAGAATTCAACTTCATATTGCATTGACTGCTTTTCAAACTGTTGTACAAGGTGAATGATTACAATTATATATGGCTCAGACTTTTAGTTGAGTAGCTCAAAGATTTATCCATAAAATTTTGAAACTTCATAAATCTACATCTTTAATCATTTATTCATTATCTTGCACACATCTCGCTTTGTATTATGCTCTTTGAAATACATTGTTGTGGCCAAGGTCAAAGAGGTTGCTGCCTGTATTCTCCTCTAGGATTTTGACGGATTCCTGTCTCACATTTAGGTCTTTCACCCATTTTGAATTTATTTTTGTGTATGGTGTAAGAAAGTGGTCCAGTTTCATTCTTCTGCATGTTACTGTCTGGTTTTCCCAGCACCATATATGTTAACTGACTTGAATATAAATACAATCTAAAAATAGTAAAAAATAAAATAAATAAAATAAAAATAAAATTTATTGTTCGGAAATGTCATATGTTATCTTTCCTGAATGAAAATTCTTCAACAGTAAAGAGTTTCAAGGTAAATTACTGTGACTTTATAATCCATTACTTTTCATTTAAAAAACTATCTTCAAAAGAACATTACTTGTATTTTATAAAGCTGTTGACCTCTAAAAAGGCCACTAGATGTCAGTTCTGATCTACAATCCAACAAGAATGAATCATGTCTTAGAACTGATTTCACTGCATTAAAAGTCAACGAAAAATTTTTGCTTTTTCTCTTTCTCACAGGTGCATGATCATTTAAATTTTCAAGATGATGATAATATGGATTTTGAGGACCAAAACACAGAAGAATTCCTTTTACAAGATACTTTCAATTTTCTCTTCTCTAATGAATCTTCACTTCCAATGTTTTCTGAGATATTTCAGGGACTTTATAGATCAGGTGTTTTTAAGGTAAGTGCATATTTTTTAAGTGACAAATGATTTTTTTTCAAGTCATTCTTTGAAAGGTGCCATTTTCTTTATTGCGTAGCTAAGCAAATTGATAATGCATTTGAAATGAATTGGTATCCATTATATTACACCTCTTTATATTTTTCTGACCTGAAGACCAAGACTATTTTATGTCAACTAAGTATGAGTAACTGATTATGATGCAGTGATGGGTTAAAATAAAGAAGTCCCTAACTCCTAAGGAATGTTTGTGGATATTATGAATAATACATATTAGATGTTATTTAGAACACTTTAAAAGGAATAGTAGAATTTTATGGAGGCAGTCTAGAAGAGCAGTGAGTGCTCTAGATTGACATCAAGGGACTGGAGTTAGAATACTAATTTTTAAAGAAGTCACATCTGGTTCACATCTTTGCTTAGCTGCTGCTGATTAGGGTGTAGTGCTTCATAGTAGCATTGGTTAATTTTTATGGCGTGTTAAACAAGTTTTCTTGATGCATCAAAATCTGTACAGACTATTAAGTACGGTATTATTCTCTATGTACCTTTCTGTTTTAAAACCTGTATTTGGAGAATTTGGGAGAGTGGGATGTGAAAGTTCTCACAAACCAACGTTGATGCTCTATGGAGAGTTGTTTGTGAGAAATAGAACATGACTTTATAGACTGCTGTTTCCTCTGGATTTTATTAATTTTTTTCTCTAGTTCCCTGTTTTCCTTCATTTAGTGAGTGGACTATCATTAAAACCACTTGATTTAATGAGTGATCAAGTTAGAACCACTTGATCCAGAATAATGGTAAATATGTGCAACTTCTCCTCTCAAGAATGCCTCAGAAAAAAATGGATGTGAGGAAAAATGGGGCAGGGGGACTGTTTATTAGAATCCACAGACTCCAAAATTTTAATATCCCATAGATGAAATTCCCATGTTCACGGGCTGCTCTGATCTCTGGTACCCTAAAGGCTGAAGGAGATGCTTCCTGCATTCCCAAATTGTCACACACAGTCTACCCTCCTGGGCTCATCTCCCCAACCTTACTACCAATGCCCTATTGAGCAATTTCATTCAGGTCCTCTTTGTCAAGTATGAAATTTTCTTAGAGCCAGACACTGTTGTGACAAGCTGAAGTTACTATGTGTGATTTGGCATTAATTAGCTCAGCTGTTTATTGAGTTCAAACTTTGATTGGTTAAGAAAGTGGAGGGCAATTGGGCTAAACATGGTTTGATTTTGTAACAATTGCTTAAGAATTGTTCCCCTCCCCCCATTATAGGGTGAAAACCATCAGAAGGAACAAAACCAATGCCTGTCTTTAGAGGAGATGAACTCAATTATGACTTTCACAAAGGAACTTGGGAACTTGGGGCAATTCCAACTGGTAAAACAAAAGTGACATGTGATTCCTCATGATTACTGAGCTTATAGATCAGCCATAAACTATTTGAGTTTCACTTAAAACTAGGTGAAGATTTTTATTTAAGAAATACAAATCTTTGTAAGCTTTTTTCTTCTTCTCAGACATCTAAATATTAAAATGAGCAGAACCCATATTCTTTAAGAGTTTGCAAATAACACATGACTTATTCAAGGTAAAAGGATAAGAGATCAGCATAGCTGTCAGTACATGACTGTTCTGAGAGGGAAAATGTCCACATTTTACAAGAGAAGTTTAGCTTTTAACTTTGAGACATGTACGTGGAACAAAACTTTCTTTCTGCTCATCGTGCCCTTTTTGTTTGTGTAAAATCAAATATTACTGAATGTAACCACATTTTAGAAAACAACCTAAATCTAAATTTGTTGCAACTCTATAGCAAGCTTCAAAGAAAGAAAACGTAAATAATTATGATAACTAGGCAAAAAAAAAAAAACAAAAACCCAAAAACCTGACATGTGTTTTCCTTTCTGTGTATTTTCTTGGGTTCTGTTAATTTATTGGTCAATATGGAAGGTCACTATCAATATAATTTATTACATGTATGTGTGCATGTTCAGTACTTGCTTTGTTTCTAGTTCTGCCACTTATCTAGATGGACTATAATGGATTTCTATTTTTCCACCTAAGATTTGCTTATATGAAATATCTTGTTAAAACAGCATTTTTCAAAGTCCACTGATAATTTATTATTAATCTGTTTGGATCAGACATTTATTTTTTACTTAAAAAATAGCATGTATTCACATGCTACTTGTCTGAGTTATAACCAACTTACTAAGTTTGAATGTTTGGCACTTGTTTCTATAATTTAGATTTTTATTTTAGAGGGTTCAAAGTAAGCTTCTGCCCCAAAGATAATAATTTAATTGATGGATTATTTTAATTAATTTAAAGATAGTATTACATTTGTCACAGTTGGCTCAAAACTCAACAAAGATAAAGACAGAGGTCTCATTCTTGAGGAATTAATAATTTGAGATATTGTGAATGTAGAGAAAGTCTCTTGGCACAGTGTGAAAACTGAAGAATTATTTTGCAGGAAAAAGGACAAACCCCAATTTCCTGACTCTCAGAGTAGAAAGAGGATAACCATAGATTTTTTTTCCATAGGATTAATATCTCTCACCCTGACAAAGTTCACTTGTAACCCCAAATGATTTCTCCTTATTCTTTCTACTGCCTGAGTCACTCTGTCATTTAGCTGTTTGCAGCTATCGATAGGAAGGAAATAACCATTTTCATTCAAAGAAAAGAGAAAGAAAACTCACCATATTTGGAAATATGATCAACAAAATTAGTTCCTGATAGAAAGTGGCATTTACCTTGACACCTGCACAGAAAATTATATTATGATACTGACCATTGGTTTTTAAATAAGTATCTGATTTTTTGAAATAGCTGAATAAAATAGAAAGTCTTTTCTAGTAATAATACCTTTTTGGTTATTTTCCATAACTTATTATGATATTCTGGTTTTGAATATTTCTTCTCAGCTCTTCCCATCTACTACTCCTGGGATTCGATCTTTGATGCGTGAATTTTATGATAGGGCAAATCCTGTGGGACGACCTGGTTCAATCCTGACTCAATGCTGGTCTCTTATAAATGTATTGGAACAGTTTCAGCTCCTGAATAAAAAGGCTCAGCTACATCCCCTGGAATGGTAAGATAGCCACAAATTTGAATTGTGCAATCCAAAAATTCTCTAAAGATTGATTTCAAAAGATTTTGCCTACATTAAAGAAAGCAACAAAAAGAAATGTGTCCAAATATTTGTGCTCTGGAAAATAAGTTTCTTTAAAGCATTGAAACCATAACAGTCCTAGTGATCTTCAAACACTGTAATAAGAACACATCCAACAGTTTTTTAAACCAATAGGACTTGACTCTACTACAGAGTCATGTTTAAAAGTTTCAATCTCATTTCATTCTGTGATGTATATCCTTGAATTATGAGAGCATCAGACGGAATTAGGTGACTTTTTTTTTTTTTTTTTTTTTTTTATGAACCATCAGTCAGTGTGGAGCCCAAGATGGTATGATCATTTATTTAGAGAGTTTTTGAAGCATGACTTTATTCTGGGCAAAATCTAGCCAAATTTACAAATATGTCTGTCCCTGCCACAAGAATAGAACTTTTCTTTTTTAGAAGGTAGAATCTCAGAGGGAAACATTTGACCTCCCATTTCCACTTCTGTTCTAATGAGAGGTGGTAATGAGGGGATGGGAGAGAGGATAGGCCAAGGTGATTATATTCACATCTCCTGTCCTTGTCGAGAAGGGACAGGGCCCAAGGCACTGGCTAAGTCGGCTTCTCTTTTATATGATGGAATTCAGGGAATATTTGACTTTTCTACTGCCAGGAAAACAGAAGCAAACCTAAACCTCCTAGGGAGATGAAAGACGAAAGGGCCATGCCATAATCATTTATGTCTCTTGCAGTCCCTCTCAGGAAGGAATGGCTTCGGTTCTCCTGACTTGTCTTCATTTCCCTCTGCCTCAGGAAGTAAGGAAAGCGTTTCCATAAGAATTTTTTTTATAATTCAAAAATACGAATAATCGTATATTTGAAGAATTCTTAGGACATTTCCCAGGATCAGAACTCACTTTAATTCCCACGATGTTATGAAGTTGGCCTTATTCCCTCAATGCTCAGAAGTAGTAAGCCTGACAGAAGCCTTTATTTGTTTGAAAAGTACATTTCAAATAACAGAGCTCAGTGCCCATTTGTTCTTCACCCTCACTCAAGTCATTCAAGTCTGTCTCATCTGTCATTATCAGTGGGGAAGAGCAGACTTGATTTACCAAGGAGCCAATTTAGGTACTGTTTTTAACTTTGACTAAATTTCCTTGAGATATACAAGTTTTGGAAAATGTGTTCCCCAGCAAGTTTTTCTCAAGCTCCATATATGGTGTAAGGTTAAGGAAGGGACTTTTCCTAAATTCAGAATACTGCCTTTAACCCAAACCCTAAGCCTAACCCTAACTGATTCCCTTTGAATAAGGGAGTTTATTAGTGGTCAGTGTAGAAAGGGTCAGGACTTTCTTGAATCAGACAGACATGGATTCAAATATCCCAATCCTAGAGTTTATTAATTATAGAAGCTAAAGTTTTGATACCTCTGAGACTCAATCTCCACATCTGTAAAATAAAGATTATACTACCTACCACATATTACTTCACAAGAATTACATAAGATAATTTCCATGTACTACATGGTATCTGGTATGCTGCAGCGCAAGTAGGTAATAAATATTAATATTGACTTTTCACGTTTCTCTACCATCCTAAGGTCACTTTAGATCTACAGTGGAAGAAACATTTTTTCTTTATTTTATAGGAAAAGCAAGACAAGTTCGAAAGATTTATCTAAGTTAACACTGAGAACATTAAATTTTAGATCTTTCTCAAAAAGCACTTAGGTAAATCACTCTGAGAACATTCCAAGAAAGAATACTCAATTCTAATTATCTTCAAATTTCCTGTGAGTGTATGTATATTTAATTATCATCCTGCTGTGTTACAAGGAGGATGCATATTATACACATTTTCCAGATGAGGAAACCATGCCAAGAAGGTGGGGGGTCATTTGCTTAAGCCACACAGCCCAGAGAAATAGAGGAGGGATTAGGACCCTGGCCTCACGTCCAAGGTCCGGTGCTTTATTCTAGTATATCCTGTAGACAGAAGGTCAGGTGTAGTCATTCGTCATTGTCCTTATCTTCACAATGGTCACCTCCAGCTTTTTCTATAGAAAAAGCCAATTTTACATACCTATGCTACCTGTGGGGATTAATGACTTCATGCTTCCTTTTATTTTTTAAAATTAGTTATTTATTTAAGTAATCTCTACACCCAATGTGGGGCTTGAACTCACAACCCCGAGATCAAGAGTCACATGCTCCCCAGAGCGAGCCAACCAGGTGCTCCCATGCTTCCTTCTAAATAAAGATCATTTGCTTAGAGCAATGAGGTGAGAAGAGATAAAGTCAGAAAAGCAATGGTCAGAAAAAGTGACAGTGATGTGTGTCTGTGCCCTGAGGCTTAGAATCCAGAGGTCCCAACAGAATTAGTGTAAATCTGAACAGAATGAAAATATTAAAATCAATATTTGTGCATCATCTGCTAATTTTCACGTTACAAGAAATAAAGTTGCAAGTGTACTTTGCTCTCCTCATAGGCTTTCTGTGAAAAAGTCACATTTTTAAAAACAAATCATTTATTCACAAAATCACATAAGGAATTGCTTCAGGATGCTTTACCATACAAAGCATCTTACTCCATTAAGATAGTAATTCAGTGTATGTGCATTTCAGGGTTTTATCTTTTATGAGCTTCACTTAGAGTTTTTGCTTCACATGAATTCAGAGATTTTTTTTTTTAATTTGGCCTGGCACCCAGTCAACCTTCAACTAAACATATCTCACCCCATGCTTGCTTTATCTGTTTCTTCATTCCTTGGGAGAAGGGAAATATTTTAAAGTAAGTCCTAGACATTTTTCTTTTTCACCCCTAAATACTTCATCGTATGCATCAAAGAAAGAAAAGAGACTTTACAAGTAAAACTGCAATAAAATTATCACACCTTCCCACATTAGCAATATTTTTAATTCCTTGATTCTTCGTAATTTGCTGATGTTTCTATTTTGAAGGAACTGAATATGCCTATTCATCTCCTCTCTACCACAGTGCCCAGCACAATATCTGGGACAATAAATATTTATAAAACTTAACTTAACACAGAGCATCTGATTTCATCCTCATAGCATCGCTGTGAAATCAGGCCAGTGATATTCCCTCCATTCTGCTGCAGTGGAAATGGAGAAAGAATCAGAGCACAACCCAGGAAAGTCCAACCACATCCTGCTCCGTGTTCTCCACCATCAGGACCAGCAAGTTTTCGGTCTGCAGTTCAGATTATTTGGTCTCAACTTGGAGGAGTTCAAAAGTGATCTGGCCAAGCACTTAGTTACACAACAGAAAAACATGAGGCAAACACACCGAGAGGAACTAAGCCTTACCATTAAGTACAGTTAGTCAGCGTTTGAGGAGAGAAGACGTGGCAAGACATAGGTCATTTTCTGCGTTGGGCCCTTAAGTTTCCTAGATTATGTGTATGTTCTTCTGAGTCTGTGTCTCAGACTTTCCAGGCCTTCTTGCTTCAAGACTGTGTGATTTTAGCCAGATTCCAAGAAGAATGTGTGTTCCCAATTCACTTCTCTTGGACCCAGGCTATCAGGGACTGCTCACTTTTGGAAGGAAGAGTGACTTTTTGCCCTGCTTTTCTTCAAATGTGCTTCTGCCGATTAGAGATGATGAGATTTCTACCCACCTCACTTGAGGCCAGATTGCCGGTCTTGAGCAATGAAATCCAGAAGGTGTTTCTTTGTGTTCGTCAAAATATCTGTGCCCACACAGAAAAAAAAAAAATAGTGCATTAGATGTAATTTCCATGAATTTTGTTCATTTCATTGATCCAGACTTGTTTGGCATTGCATTTGCAGGCATTCTTTCACAGAGGATGAGAACATTGAAAAACCACAAGTGCCATTTGATGCAATGAGAAATAAAAAAGGTAAAAAGATATAATCTCACTTCTTCCAACATGAAAATAAGTATTGTGTGGCCCCCAAAATATATAAGAAAAATGTTTAGCTTCATTAGCAATCAAAAATGGAAGTTAAACTAGGAAATGCTATTTTCCCTCAAATTTGAAAAGATCTTTCCTCTTAAAGATCATAGAGTTGGGGAGAGTGTAGGGAAATAAGTATTCTTATGCCACTGGTGCTGGTATAAATTAGAGCAGCCTTCCTTAAGGGGCCGTGTAACAACATATAAGAAAATCCTTAAAAGTTACTCTTACAGGGGCGCCTGGGTGGTATAGTCAGTTAAGCATTCAGCTCATGGTTTCTCCTCAGGTCATGATCTCAGGGTTCTGGGATCGAGCCCCATGTCAGGCTTAACACTCAGCTCGGAGTCTGCCTGAGATTCTCTCTCCCTCTCCCTCTGCCCTTCTTGCACATGCTGTCTCTCTCAAATAAATAAATAAATCTTTTTAAAAAAAGTTATTCTTACATCATAGAAGTCTCAATCCTAGATATTCATTTTAAGGAAATAATTAAGAATGTACACAATAGTTTAGTTACATAAGTTATTAAAAATAAATTTAAAAATTTGAAACTACTTCTATTGTAATAGTAGTGAAATGGGTTAAAAAATAAGCCATAGACTTCCAATATAATACTGTAAAGCCATGCTGATATTTCAGAAGAATATTTATGACATGAACGATGTTTATGGTGTGTTGTTAAATGAAAAATTGACTACAAGCAACATGGACCTCAAGGAATATTAATGGCAATTGTGATTTTCTTTCCTAGACTTATCTCTACTTTTTCTAATTTTTTCTTTCTAAAGAACATCTGAGCTTTTTATCATACAAAAAGAAAATGCTTCTAATTTTAAGAATAAAAGATGAATCATGGAACACTACATCAAAACTAATGATGTACTGTATGGTGACTAACATAATAATAAAAAAAGAATAAAAGATGAAAAGAAGTACCACGTGTCTACAACTTTTTAGAAATCAAAATTTTCCTATTACAAATCAAGGTTTAATACAATACAGTGGTTCTCAGCATATGGTCCCTAGACCAGAAACATCAGCATCACCTGGGAAATTTGGACCATTCAGATCTACTGAATCAGAATCATACTTCTCTGGGTATGAGGCCCAGCACTCTGTATTGTAAGAAGTCCTTCAGATGATTCTGTGGCATGTTAAAGTTTGAGAACCACTGATTCAATAGAAGGAATTGGTAAGCCCTGTGAAGAACTGGTGACAAACTGCTATTCTGTGTCTTTCTCACTCCCACCATTTTTCTCTTTAAATGAATGATTAAAGCACTCCGAGTGTTTTTATTCATTCATTTGTTCCATCGGTATTTAGTAAGGAGATTTTTATTTTTTATTTTTTTCTTATTTATTTATTTGAGAGAGAAAGAGAATGAGAGAGAGAGAGCACATGAGAGGGGGATCGGTCAGAGGGAGAAGCAGACTCCTGGCTGAGCAGGGAGCCCAATGCGGTACTCGATCCTGGGACTCCAGGATCATGACCTGAGCCGAAGGCAGTCGCTTAACCAACTGAGCCACCCAGGTGCCCCTTATTTTATTTTTTTAACTTGTGTTATGGATTCTTTTTTTTTTTACATTTTTTATTTTGTTATGTTATGTTAATCACCATACATTACATCATTAGTTTTTGATGTAGTGTTCCATGATTCATTGTTTGCATATAACACCCAGTGCTCCATTCAGTAGGTGCCCTCCTTAATACCCATCACCAGGCTAACCCATCCCCCCATCCCCCTCCCCTCTAGAACCCTCAGTTTGTTTCTCAGAGTCCATAGTCTCTCATGGTTCGTCTCCCCCTCCAATTTCCCCCCCTTCATTTTTCCCTTCCTACTATCTTCTTTTTTTTTTTTTTACATATGATGTATTATTTGTTAGGTAGTAAAGAGATTTTTAGATAGATGTGGTTTACTTTAGAAACTTAAGAGGAAATGTCAGTGGAATCAACTGGATAAAATTTCTGCAATTCTAATGATTTGGGATATTATAGTCATAAAATCATGGAACCTTCTAGAAGGAATCTCAACATCACCCCAAGGCAATGGATGACATTTGGACCATTCATTTTTCTCCCCTAATATTTTCCTGTTTCAAGTAATCATTCTCCTGAGATTTGAACCAAAGAACTTCTTTTGTTTTACTGTCACTTTCAGTTTAACTAAGAAGGGCTTTCTAAGAAAAGTTAAATAATAAAATGTGTTCTGCTAAAGTATGCTGTTTGAGATTACTGAATATGTGTTCCTTTTATTTTAATAGTTTTCATTTTAAATTAACCTTTTGTTTTTTAGCTGCTGTTCCACGAATCAGGAATGAAACCAAAGAAGTTCATTGCAGTAATGGTGAGTTCCAATGAAAGTGTTTCAGTGGCATGATCAATAGCGAGGCACAGCCCAGCTTTGAATAAATCACCATTTTACCATATTTAAGGACTTTTAGACTGTAATGTATTTTAAGTAAATTTTTAGAAGTTTCTGAATGAGTTGATATCTGTCACTTTTGCATAAGAAGAACATTTTTAATTTTCTATTTTTGAACACGAAATGTTATGTTGATGTGTTTGTTTAAGGCCAGTGACTTTCAAACTCATTTTGAGGGGTCTTCAGGGTGCTAAGACTTTGCCTTGGAGACTGCTCAAGTGGATAAACTTGGCTTATTTGCTTTATACATCAATTTTTAGGACTCATACCACCCCACAGGGATTCCTTTTCTGCCAGATTGTTGACATAATGGATAGCACTTGAGTTGAATTTTTTTTATAACAGAGTTTTTAATCTGATTTTCAGTTTTTTTTCTTAAAATTCATGATTTTTTTTTACTAAGGTATGATCAAGAAAAATGGCATGTATATAATAATACATTTCAAGTATGTAGATTTTAGGATTTAAAAATAATTTTCTTTACTCTGGTCAGTATTATTCCAGTGGCCTTGAAAATATATAATTCTAGAGAATCTAACTGACCTTTCCAAGATCACAGGGCTATTAAATGCCTGAGCTGGATCACAAAGCTGGATCTTCCAATTCTTTGTCTAAAGCTCATGAATTATCTTAATACTTTATAACAGTATGATGGAAAAATAAGACTACTTAGCAGGTTTGCTTTTTGACCATGTATACATATATATATATATATATATATATATATATATATAGTGCTAAAACATACACTCAGAAAATTTAGCCTTTCACAAAAGGTCTATTCCAGTAAAACATAAAAGCTGGAAAAAATAAAATTTATGGACTAAGGTTTATTATAAATAAGAGTCTTCCAGTTTAATAAAATCTAATTTGTATCTTCTAAAATGCAATTTAACTCATTCATTACATTTTAACAGTATCATTAAAATCTGGGTAGACTGAGAGGTTATACAATAATGTGGTTTAATAGAATCAACAAGTACATCCAATTAAAGAAAAATGGCATTTTAAATAAAGTATTGCTGATCAGGAAAAATAACAGATATGACTTATGCTGTTCCTTGCCTGCACTTTTCATCCAATCTCTTCCTCCTAGAAAAATACATGCACCTCTTGGGATACTGGTGCCTAGGTTATAGTGCGGAAAGGACTAGGGAGTAAACCAGGAGCAAGATGAGAATGTACATTTGTCAAGTGCTAGGCTCTGGGGTAGATGCAGCATCAAGAAAGTCACTTCACCTCTTTGGTCTTCTATTTTATGATGTATAAAATGAAACAACTCCATGGGGATAATCTCACTTTTTTTCCATTCCCAGGTAACCTGCTGTAGAGGATGTGAACATGTTAGATAAGCTTTTCAGCTTAGTTCATATTTTTATGTTGATAAAAAACTAGTCCTACCTGGGTCTGTATAATTAACCAGACTACTTTCATGGCATGATCTAAGATTTAAAAAATAACTTGATGATGCCTCAGAATAGGTGGGATTATCCTTCAGAGTCTAGGCTTTTCTCGTGTTTAACATGAGTTATGATTATCCCTCAAGAGGGCAATAAAACTCTGTGGTTAAATGAATCCATTAAAAGCAACCAAAACTTCAAACGGCTTTCCCAAATACACTTGCCAAATAGGTTAAGCAGCCTGCTACCACCATAGCTCATGCTGGGTTCTCCGTGGATCTGAGGTAAGCTGGCCCGAGGTGAGTTGGCACTGGGCTGGGAAGGACGCCAAGAAAACTCCAGGTGTTTGTAGGCAGCAACACTGATGATTCAGGTGAAGATGATATCAAGATAGATCAGCTTTTAAACAGGGCTTTAGGATGCAGCACTTAAGACAGAGTTGGAGAGTTTCTGATGAAACCAAAAACGAGCACTTGCTACAATCTTGCTTAAGAGAATGATTACACATTATGTCTCGTGTGGGGCTGCATTTCAGTGTTACAATGGGCAAGCCCCACTGGAAACTTTCACTATGAAGTGAAAGTGTAAACTGCAGGGAAATTAACTCTCAGTGACTGTTTTATAAAAATATGTCTTCTTAAGTTAAAGTACATCTTCTGTGGTTACTCTTTTGAAAAAATAAATCTTCTACTTCATTATTCATTTAACTGATTTTGAACATAAAAGTGTAATGCAAGTGTTTATATTCCCTTTCTACTTAGGAAATGGTCCTCTCAAAAGCACATTTTGTATGTCTGGACTCCAGCCTGTTTAATTTTTTTTAAGAAAAATTTTTTATTGTTATGTTAATCACCATACATTACATCATTAGTTCTTGATGCAGTGTTCCATGATTCACTGTTTGTGCATAACACCCAGTGCTCCATGAGAGAGGCGGACTCTGGACTCCAGCCTGTTTAAAGTGTTATGTTAGGTTCACAGTCTCCATTTGAGTCAGATCTTATGACCAACAATAGCCTGTTTTTACTGTGCTTATCTCAGCCCTTGAACATAGAATATGCTGGAAAAAAATTTTTTAAGTGAATACATTATTAATAAGTAGTTGAATTCAAATAAAAAGCTACGGTCCTTTTCAGGATGAAATCTAATAATATAATCTTGCCCTCATTCTTTAACTTTTTCTCTTTTATTGTAAAAATTTCAGGAGTTGACAATGATCATCAAAATTATAGATGCAGTCTACCTACATCTATCAGCCAGATCAAATCTTTGGTAAAAAGTACAATCAATCAAATGGGTCATTTATCCAATTCACTCAGTTGTTTAACCGAATTGACTAGTTGTTTATTTTTTACTAAGACTTTTCCCTGCAATGAAATTACAATATATCTTTTGTATTATTATTTGTTCCTAATTTGCACCTGGATGGTTTTCTCTTTTGCCAGCTGAGAAAACTATAGAGTGTGGGTCAGAAATACACAAGTTTTTTTTCATTTTCATGTTCAGCTTTCATTTTCATACATGTATGATAGTTGTACTGAGACACAGTTCTCAGAACTGGAATAAAATTTCCATAAAGTCGGTGGCATCCACTGCCATGGACTTGGAGGTACATCTCCATGTCTGTCAAAGATATATGAAATGGTTGGCCTTGATAAGTCACAAGCTCCAGGACGGAATGGGAGATGTGACTGGAGAGAGGAAGGTGAGGAAGAGATGGTGAAATGCCTCTTCTGCTTTATTCGGAGCTTGTACTAGATTTTGGAGATAACGAGAGACCATTAAAGAACGGAAGCTGTCGCAAATCTGATTTTAGAAACCTCACTGTGATAGCTGTATATAGATAGAGGAAGGGACATGGTTCAGAGGATCATCTACTTTCTTTAAGTTCAGTGTATTGCTTCCGGCAGCGAATTCTGTGTTATCTGTTTTGTTGCCATGTTGTTAAACCTCATTGAACATTTTATTTAAAGGCAATAGAAGGATACTTTCATTTTACAGATTTCCATAGAATCCACTGGAATTTCGTTAACTACTGAAAAGTATTTATGGAACAAAATACTTATTAATATTTCTTTAAAAAACATTTGCTAAGCTTCTTTTGAGTAATGTGTTTATTCCAAATATGTAATCAATATAATTTAGCAGTAGCTGGTATATATGCCTATAAAAGAATTTTTCTTTTTCTCATCAAGATACTTTTGTAAAAACTGGGCTACCACCTAGAAACACATTTTTAAAATGGCTTAGAATCAATGGTATGAAGTAATATGCTGAGTTCTACAACAGGATTGAGGAGAGTATAACATTTCTTTCTCATACTTTAGGGCACTTTCTTGGGTTGAGGTGACCAGGGCAGGGAGGGGGGTCTCAGAATGTCCCGCTGCTGTTTTTGTATCTGACTTTTTGGTAAAATACTGGATTTCACGTTCTTCACCCTACTGCCTGTAAGCTACTATATCAATTCAATGGCAGTTTAATGACTCTCCCTATTAAGAAATTTTCCTCCTTCCCTGCTGGTGCCCTTCTGTTCCCACTTCACAGAGTCATCACCCCCATTTACCAGTTGCTTGATAGATGCAATAAATGCCACGAAAATGTTATCAATCCACTGGTGAGACATTTTCCCACCTTCTCACCACCTTTAAACTTTTAAGGGCTGAGCAAAAACTATCATTTATATAATGCCAACTAAAGTCAACAGCCATTATATAAGGCAAGCTCTACAAAATTTGACAAATAGAAAATCCAGCTGAAGCCACAAATCAAATATGACCAGAGTGCCAAGTGGAAAATCAGCAGTGATTATGAAGGTTGTTCAAAGGATTAAAAAAACAACCTTAATCATATATGCTTTTTAAACATCTATCCATTTCACAGTTGTCTTTTCTTTGCCATTGTTGTTTTAACAGATGACACACAATGTTATATCAAGCAGATCCTCACACATCCACATTTGGAGCTAAATCCTGAATTTAACCCAAAGATCAAAGATTATTACTCTGAAGTCCCATTTGATGTGGTCACAGTGACAATTGGAGCGGAGACTTCTAAGTGTCAGTGCAAGGTGTACCTGCATGATCGGGCAGGACCAAGGTACGCAGATGTTGACCAGGGCTGAGTGGAGACATCATAGTGGGAAGCAAATATCTGAGGCAATATTTGAAGGTTGAGAAAAGCTGAAGCGTCAGATTAGTTGGAGAGATTGCCAGGGTGTGAAATCCTTCCACTTTTCAGGTGTCATGTGGTAAAAAAGAAGACATATCGGTGCTCTACTGATCTGTTAACAATCTTCGATTTCAAGTTTTTATTTAAATTCTAGTTAGTTCACATATATGGTAAAATTGGTTTCAGGTGCAGAACTTAGTGATTCATCACTTACATATAATAACACCCAGTGCTCATCACAAGTGCCCTCCTTGATCCCCATCACCTGTTTAGCCCATCCCCCACCCATCTCCCTCCATCCCCAATTTCTTCTCTATAGTTAAGAGTCTCATGGTTTACTTCCCTCTCTTTTTCTCCTTCCCCTATGTTCATTTGTTTTGTTTCTTAAATTCCACATATGAGTGAAATCATATAGTATTTTCTTTCTCTGATTTATTTCACTTAGCAGAATACACTCTAGCTCCATCTACATTGTTGCAAATGGCAAGATTACATTCTTCTGATGGTTGAGTAATATTCCATTATGTATATACCACATCTTCTTTATCCATTTATCAGTCGATGGACATTTGGGCTCTTTCCATATTTTGACTATTGTGGATAGTGCTATGAACTTTGGGGTGCATGTATCCCTTCAAATCAGCATTTTTGTATCCTTTGGGTAAATACCTACTAGTGCAATTGCTGGATCATAGGGTAGTTCTATTTTTTCAACTTTTTGAGGAACCTCCATACTGTTTTCCACAGTGGCTGCACCAGTTTGCCTTCCCACTAACAGTGTAAGAGGGTTCCCCTTTCTCCAAATCCTTGCCAACATCTGTTGTTTCCTATGTTAATTTTAGCCATTCTGATAGGTATGAGGTGTATCTCGTTGTGGTTTTGATTTGTATTTCCCTGATGATGAGTGATGCTGAGCATCTTTTCATGTGTCTGTTAGCCATCTGTATGTCTTCTTTGGAAAAACATCTGTTCATGTCTTCTGCCCATTTCTTAACTGGATTATTTAGTTTTTGGGTGTTGAGTTTGGTAAGTTCTTTATAGATTTTGGATACTTTGTTAGCAATGTTTGGATCTAATCTTTGTCACAGTGTTGTGACAAAAGAGGATCTTGTGATTTGAAATATTAAAGAGACTCATTAAGGGTAGCTTCCTTCTACCATTTCCCAACTCCTCAAGATTTTGAATATTCAGGGGTTGAACAAATATTTTGGTGACAATTTATGGACATACTAACACTAATATTCCTAGTCTCATGGGATTTTTTTCTATCAACTCTTTTGAGAGTCACCAACTCTTTTGTTTATAATTTTGAACAGAAGATAGAACTATATTACGTACCATGTTCATGGCAAGGAAAATACTCATGTTCCCATGCTGTGGGGAAGGAAATGCATTTGGCATCCCTGGGAGCTAAGAGAGTCTAGTAGAAAGAAAAGAGAATTCAAGTCAGACCAACCTGGACACCAGCCCTGGGACTCTACCATGGGACTTTAGGCATAGAGTTGATATATTAAATGAGATAATGTATGACCCTGAGAAGTGGTTAATAAATATTAGTTTCCTTCCTGGTGATTGCTAGAGGACATGACTTGCTCTGCAAGGTAATTGTTGGCATACCAAATACATAATTAAGTTTTTTTCATATTTTAAGTTTCTTATGAAGTTGTATAGACCTTATCTGCTTTTGTGTGCAAATTATAGGCATTAAATAAATATTGATGTATGAATCCATCATATATCAATATTTATTATTCGTATGGACATATGAATAAATCTCTCTCTCTCTCTCTCTCTCTCTCTAGCTTTGCCAACTACCCTCTGGGTTTGGGAATGAACAAAATCTCAATGCTGGTGGTGGATGAATCTCCAGCACAGGGGGAAACCCTGAGCACGTATAAACTCACCATCTACAGAGAAGACCGTCCAAGTCTGCCCTTGTTTGAAGACTTCACAGCATGCGGTTTTGTGCAGGTAAGTGAATTCTACATTTGCACTCAGGTTGAATTGGGAGTGATCTGTTAACCCAGGTGAAAAATGCCAAATGAAAATTGTTAGGAAAAACATGTATGCTTGCAAATCCAAAGTGTGGTCTCATTTCCAAAGAGAAGGAGTCCCAGGCAGTTATGTGAGTTACCTTATTGTGAGTGTTTTTCTTTGTAGTGTGGTGGCTGCTCCCTACCCTTCCTGTGCTCAGTGGACTTTTTGTGCTTAATATTGAAAAAAATGTCTGAGTGATCACACTGAGTTATAAAATTGATTTTACACTTGAGTTTATATTTCCATGTTAAATTGTGCTGTGTTTCTTGGATTTGTACCTGAATCTACTCTGAAATTTTAAGCGAGGTTCAGTGGAGTTTATTTTAAAGAATTAGAGAAAAATTTACAAAGCTATTTCGTGGAAGGGATACCAGATGAATGAAATTACATTTGCTTGAGTAGATTTATTTTTCCTGCACTCCTTGTATCTTAATCATTCCTAAAGGCCGTAGTTTCTCTTGTGACGACCACATACCACTTTGTAGCCCTGTTGATCTTGGAGGGTGAATGTGACCCAGAGACTTTGTCTTATTCGGTGGTTCTTTCCTCCATTTCTTCCCTTTGTTAGGATTCCAGGTATAACCTTCTACATTTCCTCACATCATGCACCCTCACTATAGGTGCTTCTGGGGAAGTAGTAATTGATGTTAGCATATCTCCTATTCACTCAGAAAGCATAATTGCGAATATGTCGTGTTTCAGTGACTGATAAATTATTGGGAGCATTGAAGCACAGAGGATTAGTAAGAGAGAGAAGTAGCTGACTGAGTCTCAGTGAGTAGGATGAATACCGTGTTTCCTTAAATGTAATGGCCAGATAAGTATTCTTTCCCCCTCTCCCCATTATTTGTCAGAGTGTATTTATGCTCCTGCTAACTTGGCCTGATCACTCTTCTCTACATATGCTTCCCAATCTGGGTGGTGGTTACATCCATAACCAGGTGGTGTATAGATATATAAAACATTCAATTAACTATGCACTTAAGATTTGTGCAACTTATTGTATATAAAATACATATAAATTTATTTTGCTATATATATAAATTATATACTGAATTTAAATTATACTTCATAATGTAAGAGAAAAACATTAGTAGAGAAGTATGTATTATCTTCCAAGACATGCTTCTCTTCTCAAATATTACATTCATCAGAAATAAGTTAATTACCATGCAATTACCTTAGACAATGGGTTATATTAGGAATTTGTTACTATAATATGAAGAAAAATATTAGAAAATTCTTGTGGGATATATCCTATAGATGATTGCAGAAAAGTATTTCAGTCATTTATAAGAATTCTTTCCAAAAGCTTTTAATTTAAAGTTTATGTGTGGTCCCACAGCAGTACTATATTTTGTAACATGGAAAGTGTCTAATAAGCACTAATATTTTTTTAGCTTTCCTTTACAAACTGTCAAATGACTGAAGAGATAATGAATGAATAATAATGATTGATTTAGATACTTAACGAGGCATAAGTGGCCTCAGGAACTGGGAGAAGTCAATAACAGAGGTAGGATTTTTCTCTTCCTAGACTCTAGTGACAGTTCTAATCCAGAGACCTTTCCCTTATTTCTCGTTTATGCTTAATCTCATTAGAGTCTTTGGCTTTCACTGCAAGCTGATACCATCATGAAGTTCAGAATACAAAGAGCAAGAGATACAATTTCAGAACTCCTATCAATTCTCAGCTATTTCAGAGTTTCCAAATTCATAGCTAAACAGATATACATTATAAGACACAAACGTTTGGTCTTCTAAATTGTTCTTTTTCTATTTTATCAACAACCATAGGGCTTCACTATATTCTTATGTTGACATCCAGAGTCAAACCGTTGCATATTAAATGGTAGACCATTCTATTTGAACCCCTAAAGTGTGTATGTGGCAAACCAAAGGAAATGAATTAAACTTTAATTATAGTTTATTTGTTGGTTAAAGGGAAAAATTACATTTCTTCCTGATATTATAAATTAGATTTTGACCTAATGGACTCCATTATTAAATTTTAAACAAACCTAAAAGGCAATCTACATTAAAATAACCAAAAAAGAGATTCAATTTGTGGTTAATCAAGCCTCCTAATTTCTCCTTCTCCCATTCTCTCACCTTCTGGTTATCAGCTATTCATTTTATCATTTCACCAAAAGACTATCAGTGAAGGGAAAACAAATATAAGGCATACCAGTCAAAAAATCAATTACTTTGACATTTTGGTGAATAATAAGATAATTTAATTAATTTGTTAATTGACATTTTGTATCATTTATATGATCAAATATTGTTAAATACCTACTTAAGCCATAATTAACTATCTGAGTTTGGTGTCTGTTTCTAATTATATTGCCAGTTGGAATTTGTATATGGTTGCCACAGAGGCAACTCTTACTTTAGTTATTACCAGTGAGGGAGAAAAGGCTAATTTATATGACTGATATAAGACAACTAGATCTGGACCGAGGCTTTTCAACCTCAGCATTATCAATATGAGGGCTGGATAATTTTTTGTTTTAGGAAACTATGCTGTGCACTATAGACTATTTAGCAGCATCCCTGGCCTCTATCCAGTATATTCCAAAAGTATACCCTTTCCAAACTGTGACAACAAAAAATGTCTCCAGACGTTGCCAAATGTCAGATGGGGGGCAACATTGACCCCAGTCAAGAACCACTGATATATACCAATAACAGGCCTGCTTTTGTACTTTCCACTAGTAAATCTAGTAAATCTCTAGTGGATTTACTCAAAGTATGAATAGGTTAGAGGTAATCCTTCAATGTTGAATGTTGAAGAATCACTCTTCTCTTTTCTCATCCTTGTGTTTTTAATCATTTCTATGGTCAGTGATACTACCATGACAGCTCTTCATTCTTCTCATTAATTTGCCATCTTTTCTGTCTAATGTAATTATAATCATAAATATGCATTCAATTATAAAAAACATGATTCTTAATGAAACATAAAAAGTGATATAACATACCTAGACTGTTATTTCATTTTGATTCACCCATAAATAGCATAATGTTTTGCTGTTAAGAAGATTTAGAAAGTAATAAACTGTTATTATGGTTGGAATATGTCATGCTTTGGAATTAATAAAATATATTTATGTCCTAAGGAAATTAAAACACATATGGGGAAATATTTCTTTTAATATCTCTTTCCAAATCAAAAAGTTTTGACATGGATAACAATATAGCATCCATAGAAATTGATTTGTATAAATGATCTATGGTCTCATAAACATTTTGCCCCCAAAGTGTTGTGCCAGAATAGGGCCATAAATAAAATCTACAGAGAGGTCATATAGCAGAAGCGTAGGAGACCACATTTCAGGGATCCATTTGTTAGAAACAGCCTTCATTTTAAAATAAATTACAATTAATAAAAGGAAAATACCAAGGAAAGAAAAAAAACCCATTTAAAAAAAAGTTTTGTCCAGCATTTAGCTATAGATTTAAAACTGACATTTGCTGCCTTATTAAAAAAATTAGTGATCTATATGCAGAGCTATTAAGTGATGTGTAAATGACTCCAGTTATAGTATTTGGAAATGCTTTATAATTTTCCCATTTATTTTTGTACTGTTTCTCAACACAAAGATTACAAAACAATTCATGTGATAATTGTCTAATATTTTAGCAAACACCCACAGTAAAAGAATAGAAGAGCATTTATCGATGACTACTTTAAAAAACCTTTGTTCATTTCCAAAGTTATAATATCTATTAAATACTCATTTTAGTGATTTTTTGGTTACCTTGCCTACTCCATTACACTGGAAGAATGTGATTCAATTTTTCAACAATAAAGGCTGTGTTGTAGTGAAAGGCTCCCAGCTAACAACTGTTTATTAATTACCTGCTATACACTTTGCTCTTACAAATATGTCATATACTGTAGGAGATACAGTGCAACATTTGTAGAAGTTTTATTATATGCCACATGATACTAAGAACTTTACCTTTTTATCTTATTTAGTGTTCTTCACAACTTTAAACATAGGTGATAACTGTCCCTGCCCTTAACTTATGTAGAACTTAAGGCTTTAAAACATACGTAATTAGTAGCAAAGGTGTTATTTGAATAGAGGTCTGACAGACTTCAAATTGATCCCCTTGACTCTGGACTGTAGAATCTGAAACTCTTATTACACTTATAATCTAATTAACCTGTTTAGGAAATTCATTTAGCCAGTATTTAACCTGTTAAGATTTAGTTAAGTAGAATTTGTTTTCATGGTCACATACAGTGATAATTTTTATAATGTTCTCGAATTACTGCAAAATTCTGAGGTCTTCATAATCCTTATTTTGATGAGGAATGTTATGGAATCAGAGTCTTCCCTTCCATAGTGTATCTATTGGAAGAAAAAGTTTTAGAGCTAACATCTAATATTTTACTAGATATCATACATATCCTAGTATCTGGCTATCTTTCTTGGTCCCAATATTTAATCAGGTTTAATATTTTACATATTGGAATTCTACTTAGCCAAACTACTATTTTTACTAATTGTTAAAATGTTTTCCAATGCTCAGGCTTCTTAAAATTTTATGCTTGATGGGGCGCTTAGGTGGCTCAGTCGGTTAGGCATCTGCCTTCAGCTCAGGTCATGATACCAAAGTCCTGGGATCAAGCCCTACATCAGCTCGCTGCTCAGCAGGGAGCCTGCTTCTCCCTCTCCCTCTGCAACTCCCCCTCCCTCTGCTGCTCCCCCTGCTTGTGCTCTCTCACTGTCAAATAAGTAAATAAAATCTTTTAAAATACTAATACTAATAATAAATAAATATTATGCTTGATTACACATTAGCAATTTCCAGTTGATCCTATTTAACACAACTCACTACCTTATTGTTTCTATTAAAAACATCTATAATATATTTTTTCAAAACATAAAACCCTTTGTTCACATGTGCTTTATAATTGT